GGGGTGATATACACATACTATACAGTGATACTTTACATGCTGCACATGCTGCAGTGAAAGTTGAAGAGTGCAGTTGCAGTTGTTTTTAAGAGGTTGGAATAATCAAGGAAAATTTTAAAACTTTAGGAAAATTTTTAAAACTTTCCCGTTTTCTTATTAGAAAATTAAAGAAAATTAATAAAAATTCATAGCAAAAATGTGTCTTCATTGCTCCGGTCCGGCCCCTTACAAAGAACTGTTGTAATCCAATAGAATTGTGTTCTCGGCATCCTATGATTTCGGAATAAATAAACAACACGAAGTAGTTGAACTATGTATGGGTAGTAAAAATACGTCTTGCTTTTCACAAAACCTGTTTTATGTTTTCAAATCCATGCTAATTGACTGATGGGGGTAAACGTATTATAATGATCAAGTATAGTTTTACAATTCCCAAAGTAATTTGGACTAATTAAGGCTTATTCAACAAAAATGGTTCTGACCGTTCTTAAAAAATATAAAAAATGTTCTCCCGGATTTACGCCCTGTTGCTATACCTAGCAATTTCTATAATGTTTGACGCCAAGTTTGTTTTCACCCGTTAAAACTGGTTTAGTATAACCCAAAATAACGAATTTATTTGGTTAAACTGGTTTAGTATAACCCGAAAAACGAATTTATTTGCTTAAACTGGTTTAAACTGGTTTAGTTTAACCCAAAATAACGAATTTATTTGGTTAAACTAGTTTTACCTGGTTTATATATATTCTCAAATTGCTGAGGTTTTAATTTTAATTTTTAAAACCTCAAAAGTAACTTTAAAATTACAAAATAAAAAATATAACTTATTTTGTTTCTGATTTCACAATTAATTTCATGCACCTAAAATACACATTTATGAATTTTTTTTATCAAATCTGGCATTCATATTCTGGCACTGAACGATCAAATCCAAATTCATCTAATGAATATATTCAAACTGTTGAATATGAATGCCAAACTTCTATACTGTGATTTAGCTTAAAGGGTGCCTTTATCTTTACCCTTTATCACTAACCCTAAACAGTAGTTTCCAATCTAGAAAATTTAAAAAAGAAAAATCAGTTTTTCAAACTCTGCTATAATCTATTCTATACAAGGCTGGGCATGTGACGTTTTTTTTAAATTAGCCAAACGAACGGAATCATCTTTCTGTTTTGTTAATATTTTTCCCCTTTCGGTAACGAAGTTGTTTTTCGTTAATGAATTTGATTTTTCAACGGTGGTAATAGTAGATTTGCCAAATATTTTTCTTTAGTTAAAGGGACTGCAAGAATTTTTTTTGCGGAGTATCCAAGCCAATTTGCGCATTTTTGCGCGAAATTTTACTTTACCACTGGAAACCCAATTTTTGTAATAAATATTTTAAAATTACATAAATCGGTAAATAAAAAGTTTAAAGAAAAAAATCACTTTAATGTAAACAATGATAATTTGTCATTATCCGTACGATTAACATTTTTTTTGTCTTTTCTCCCTGAACGATTTATATTGTTCGTTAACGATAGGAAACAAGTAACGGGGTTTCTGTTCGTTGGTAGAATTTACCGTTAAATTTCCTAAACTGTTTACCGTTTGTTAACAGAATGATACCCATCCCTGATTCTATCTTTTTTTAATAATGTTCTTCGCTTTTATATATATATATATATATATTTGCGCATGTAAAACCATGTATACAAAAAATTTTAAAAGTATTGTTAAAAAATTATAAAACAAAATTATTTTTTGAGTCCGTAGTTTCCCATGAAATTGGATGTTTATAAATGCGGTTATATGTTGAACTGGTTCAAGCTCAAATTGTTAAAAGTTGTTATTTTTAGAAATTTTTAACTTAGGAAAACTAGGACCAGCAATTTGTGAAGTTTGTTTTCCACCGATGTGGTGCCCCGCAAGTCACATCCTTACAGAAAATGTGGTTGAACCACTCTTCCCTTTTTTATTAATTTCCATTTAAGGTTGGACTTCTGGATGGATTCAGTTCAGATTTTCTTCCTGATCTTCTAGTGTCTAGGTATACAGTGGGACCCATTAAACATATCTTCTAGTGTCTAGGTATACAGTGGGACCCATCAAACATTTGATTTTCAGTTATGATTTTAAATAGTCTAATGAACCATGAAATTGTGCAGTATACACAGACCATTTTTATAATTAATTTGATTTTTAAACTACTGGTAAAACTATTTGCTTTTAAACAACAGCATATTCAAAAATGATTGCTGAAATGTCAACTTCACATTCCTCAGTTTTCTGGGTCGTACTGTAAAATAATTCCCATGCCACAGTAGATTTTTGGCTATTGGATATTTATATATCAGTAAAAACATAAATAGACAGATAATAGTTTTTAGATACTTGTTTTTTTAGTTTTCCCCTTGAAATCAAGGTGTAAGAAATGTTATTTTTTCATAAAGACTTATTTAAAACAAAAACTTTGTTTAAAAAATGTTATGATTTTTTGATGATAGTAGAAATCCCTGAAAGTCTGATTTGATTTGATTTGATTTGATTTGATTTGATTTGATTTGATTTGATTTGATTTGATTTCAAAAATTATTTATGATATTATTTAGTACTGAGACTACAGTTCGCTTTCTCAAACGCCTCATCCTTTGGCTGATGCAGGAAAAAAAACATTTGACATTATTTCATGTAAATTGAAAACTTGTTTATGTTAAATGAACATTCTCTAAGAAGATGCGTCTTGGAATTAGATAATTTTTTAGGTTAAATATTAATTGAAGGTCTAATTTTTCTTTCATTTTCTGAAACACATCAATTTATTTTTACCCCTGTATCTTTAGTTAAATTTAAAATTCAATTTATCATTATTTAAATTTGTTTACACTGCTAAAAACAAGTTGAATAATAAAATAATTGATACAAAATATCAGGAACCTTTTTATAAAAAATCGACTGTTATTCCACTGTTTTCAGGTTACTAATGATGTTAAAAAATTTTAAAAATGCTGTACATAATAAATAGTAAATATTTTTAAGATTAGTAAAAAGAATAATAGTTGGAAAAAAATAGTTTTCAATGAATTGCAGTTTTCTTAAATTATTAAATGTAGTTCTTCAAGTTGATAATTTATGTCCCTAGAGCGGGCAATATATCACTGGAAACTCATGTCTTTTCATTTTTTTATTAACTGAACAATATATATCTTTCTTTAAACTTTGTTCATTTTCAACCATTTTGATTTATATGAAATTAAAAGGGATTGTTCATAATATGACGATAATTGTCTCATCTTTTTTTGATCATTAAATATTTTTGGGTTTCCAGCTGACTCCACGAATTATGGTTAAATAAAGTTGTGTTTTGAAATAAAGTTAAATAATAAAAAATACAAAATAATACATAATAATCCCCCTGCGTTAACGAATGATTTAAATTTTTTTTAATTTGTTAGATTTAACATCGAAAGGGGTCAATTTAAAGATTTAAACTTTTCAACTTAAATTCGGTGGGAAAATTGAGTAAAAAATGTTTTGTTAGATTGATTCGAAAATTACTTTCAGTGTAGAAAAAAAATTTAAAATGTCACTGGTAAAAAACACTTCTTTAAAATTGTTTAATTTAGATCAAAACACAATTTTGGGACTTTGCCGACATTTTTGCCTATAGTTTGTTTTTCAACTGATTTTAGTGATTTCAACGTTTCTTAATTCAGTATTTTAAAAAAAATCTATAGATTTCCAATTTGACCTATTTTCGAGATTTTTTTCGACTTAAAAAGTCACAAACTCCAGTTTCCACAATTGGCAATTTTGATTTGCAAAAAAAAATTGTTTTTATAATGTACATTAAAGTTCCTTCCTATTCCGAGTGTGCATCGAGCAATATTGAAAATCGGCCGCCTTCTTAAAATCAAACTTTTTGAGCATACATTTTTTTTATTTATAGAAACAAATTTTTTTTTTAAATTTCTAAATTTAGATTTTTATGGTTAATAACATTAGAACTGAAGATGGTCAACCCAGACTGAAATATATTTTCTAAAAATATGGAACCAATTTTTTACTCTGTAAAACTTAAAGCATCTTTAACACCCAATTTTATTTTATTTTTAAATCGTGTGATCAGATTTCAGGGAGCTTCCTGAAAACAACAAAACTATGCTAAAACATAGTATTTTTTCTCACAAAATTTTTAATAAAAAATGAAAAAGATAAATAGAGTTTCCTAGAACTTTTTCTTTTCAAGTTTAAATCATACTTCTTCAATATAGTGATTTTTTCTTTTAAAATATGCTTTGTAATGTTTTTCTAATAATATTTCAAATATCTGATTTCTTAAATCAAGTTAAAAAAATATTTCTTCATTAATTGTTAAATTTTGCATTTAAACAATAATAGATTTATGCAACGTCATTTACACTAATCATGCGTAAATATATATATATATATATTAGCTGAGCTGGGAACTTTTGTGTTGGGTGCTCCCGATCAATTGATCTCGAAATCCACTGTGGTCACTTTTAATTTGAGAATCAATGCTTGATCTCTTCGTTTCTGTTCCCCCCTGATCCCTGACTGAATTAATCTGCAGATTAAGAAAAGCTGGAGATTAAGTTTTGATATCTACAATACAAAAGTTCCCAGCTCCCACAGGACTTGTACAAAGCAGAGAAAGAAAGTATTAATAACAACAAAGCAAAGCAACAAATATTTCACTGCTCAGAAAATAACAAAATAATTTAATTTCAAATAATCTCGAAATTAAATAAAGACATGGACAAATATAAGTTTTACAAAAAAATACATATTAAAAGATATCTAGATATTTCTTTTTATAAAAAAACTCTTTACATAAATTTATATATAATTTTCCAGTCTAATAATTTTCTAAACAATTACCTTTTGTATGTATTAGGGGAAGGGCTCTCTAATACAATTGTTTCCTAGAAAAAAAAAAGTATTTTTATCATAATTTTCTAATAAAATTCTCGAAAATTGTTTTAATTATTTATAAATTCAAATTATGTTATTGTGAGGGTGACCAGCATTTTAACAACGCCATTTTTAACATTTGTTTGAAAAAACCAATGCACTTAAAGAATTGGGTTTAAAATTAGAAGAATTTGAGCATAATATAAATTTAATTTTAAATTTAGGTGTAGATATTTAAGCATTGCTTTTGTGACCGAACAAAATTTTTCTTGAACGATGATGTTGTTTAGAAAAAAATGAACGATGGATGAACAACTTGGATCGTTCAGTGAATTGAAATGAACGAACGAATTTTCCAAAATATTTTGAAAAAACTGAAAGAACGATTTTTTTGGAACAAACTTTTTAAAAAAACTATTATTTTTAACAAACGATTTTTTCGATCAATTTTTGAAAAGATGATTGTTGTTTACTGAACGAACGATTTTTTGAACAAATGATTTACTAAACGATCATTAAGTTAGAAAACGAATGAAAAAATGGAAAATAAACGAAATAATTCTTTTTGAAAGATTAAAAAAATGGGTCATTCACGAATAATGAACGAAGAAAATGAAAGAATGCCGAACGTTCACATCTCTACGCAAGTGAGTGTGTATCAAGTGTGTATGAAGGGGGAGGGGAACCACTTTTAGTTTTATAATTTAGTCAATCCCTTTTGAAATCTAGAGATGAGGTGGAGGAGGGGGGGGGGTTGGATTCAGATATAAACGTTTTTGGTCAGAATGTAAATTTTGCCAATATTGGAATATTTTAGGAAAATCTTATATTTTTAAAAATATTATTATGATATTGTATAAATATAAATGTGCATCAAAAGAGAACGAAAATTGTACAATGTAAATGGATCATTCTACACTGTACATACAGCATGTACAGAAATTAAAGCTGTTTTAATAAATATTGATACAATTTATGCATTTGAAAATTATTGAAAAGCTCAAAAAATTCTGCCAATAATTTGACAGAAAATCTTTTTCTTGATCTGTTCATTCGCTTTTTTCAAAGGAATACGTTTTTTTATGAACTTTGAACGTGCTGATCATTTATCATATATATCCGATTATATGTTTTTATTTATTAAACGAGCGTCTAAACGCGGCCGAATCATTTGAAATGATTTTAAACATTTAAAACATTCGGGCATTTTGTATTTTAATATTTAAAAAAATTTATACAGGGTGTCCCACGAAACATGACAATTGGTGAATAGTTTAAAATGTCTTCTTTCATAATTAGATAATTTGTTTAATACTAAAGAGAATAATAACTTTCTTTTTATGACAGTTATAATACAGTGAAATAGGTTTCACAGTAAAATATATATGAGTTAAACATTTTTTTAAAAGAAATAAACTGCAAAAAGTCTTTAATATCTAATACAGTATGTGGAAGAGGACATTCAAAACTATTTACCAACTGTCATGTTAATCGTGGGACACCCTGTAGAATAAAGTACTGACATACAGAAGAAAAAATGAAACACAGTTTGTTTTTATATGACTGTACTAATGCAATTTAAAATGTCATAAGCATGCTAGTTGGGAATACAAGGGGGGGGGGGGCTACAGTTCCTAAGGGGAGGGGGATGTTACTCTGGTAAATTAAATTAGAAATACTAAATCCAAACAAATTTGTAAAATGTTTAAATATACAAACACAAAATTGACACAGGAACTTTTCATCTTTATCAAAGGGATAATTCTAAAAAGTAAAAATGACGTAAATACCAGATTTATTTTCAAATAAAAAGAATTTTTGTCCACATAAGTCCTTACAGCTCGTAAAATATCAAAGGTTGCACCAGGTTGCATAGATACAAAGATTAAAAATCAGCGAATGAAGTATGTTCAGTTTTAAGTGTTATAGTTTGTCTCCCAGAGCTGAGATTTTTAAAGTTAACCCCGACCTTCTGAAGCTCAAGACTGTGTGGAGACACAAGTCTTTGACTGTATTCTGATTCGACCAAGGTACTAATGCAAGGAAAGTTATTTCAGAGGTGTACGCATTTTTTTGTACTGCAGTGTACTGTCTTTGGGCGGAAAAGTAAACACAAGACGGATGTCACAGCCTGACATGGGATCCATTTTCACAAGAATAATCTATGAAATATTCTAGTCATAGGAAACTATAATGTGAATTTTCAAAATTATCAAAATTAAATGCTTTTAACCTCCTTGGATACTTAACGAACACTGATGAATCTATTCTTTTTTTACAAAGTCCGCCCAGAGAAAACTGGTTTTAGGATGTAAATTATTTCCATAGAGTGTTTAGTTTATAAATCTACCCAATTTTGAGAGCAGAAAACTCCAGAGATTTAAAATGTAAAAAAAATAATAGTTTTACGAAATTTCCAATCTCCAGCTTCAGTAAGGACCAAGTCTGAGAAGAGATAAAACCAACTGAGTCGGGTTTACTTAAGCTCAAGTTTAGCAAAACCTCAATTGTCTTCACTTGGTCCTTAACAGGTCTTCGCATCTACTTGTAGACCAAAGTAAAGCTTAACCCTATTCCCGCTGGGGGGGGGGGGTCAAATTGACCCCCCCCCTGTAGTTTTTTTTACATAACTCAAAAAGTATTGGTCTGAGGCTGTTGAAATTTTCTGACTTTTCTTACATACCCAAAGCCCTCCCTTTAGGCCTAAAACCGGGCTTTAATACTAACTGCCTGAGTCCTCAGGCACACTGCCTGAATGACTGCTTTTGCCTGTAGCAAACTAAATCTTTGTTTTGACCCACTTTCACTTGTCCGATTTTGATAAAATTTAGCTTTTTGGAAAGCCTATGACATAAGGAAACGGATTGCACAAGTTTTGCGAGAAAAAAAATTGCAAATTATTTGCAAACAACCTGTCAAAGGAAATTTGCACATTTTTAGTTTTTCTTGATTAAAAATCAGGTTATTTAAAATTTTGCAAAATTTTTTGCATATTTGAAATGGCATGGTCAAGGGCTTTTCAAAAATGTATAATTTGTCATTTTTTGGACAAATTTTTTTTTGCAAACATTTTTACTATAAAACTGGATTTTGCGATAAAAAATTCAATTTTCGCAAATTTGCAAATTTTTTTGCAGATTCTAAACGTAGAGCACAAGAGTTTTCTAATGATGTATCATTTGTCATATTTGGACATAAAACATGGGATTTAGAGGGGGGGGTCAAATTGACCCCCCCCCAGCGTATCCTGGTTTTCAAGTACCCCAGCGGGGATAGGGTTAAGTCAATACCCGAGTTCTTGGATGGCAGTGGGTTTAGTAAAAACCAATCGCCTTGAGGTGTTCACTCTTTAAAACCAAATGATTGTAAAGATCGTAAAAATATTATTGAAATCTTGGGAATTATTTGTTGCGTCAAATTTGATCAAAGGTATGATTTATACATACTAATTTAAAAATAATGCATATCTGTGTAGTTATGGAAGATTAAAGCACTTTATAAGCTTAAAGTATTAAAGTTTTACCCCCTATGTTACCAAGGGAAGGGGTACATATTGCCCCATAAACCTTTTTAACTTACAACTAACCTGATTTGTACTGTTTGTATTTTCTGCTAGTTGACCAATAAACCGGTTGATTAAATCTTCGATTTGTTTTATCTTCTCATTCACATTCTTCATCTCATCTCTCATTTCAGTCTAAACAAAAACAAGAATATAGGAACTGTGGACAAAATTTCAATTTTGAAGAGTATCATGTCCGTTTAGCAATTGTACCCGTTAAACCTCTATCTGAGATTTAATGAGAAAGATTTCATCGTTTTTCAATATTAGAATTCTTCCAGTTCACTGTTAACAAATATTTCCTAAAGAAATTAAGGATATTTTATCATATAAATAATCCAAGTTTAAGTAACTATTGAATATACTGTAGGAGTAATTAATAAATTGGTCTGGGGGTAATTAGCCTGTTAATGAATTCCCTGGATAATTAGTCACTATGTCTTACAACCGGTCCAGGTCAATTTATAGAAATTTATATTTATTTCTTCCTTTACCATTACAGGCTCTGCAATGAAAAGGAATTTAAACATCAAGTTACACTCGAATTTTTTAATAAAAAAGCAAAAAAAAATAATAAAATTTTTTCTTCTTACTTTTGAATTCATACAACGTCTTTGTAAAAAATAAATCGGTATTGCAAGCAAAATATTTGTTCTTCAAAATATGTCGATATGGGTACAAACAAGTCCGTCTTGAAACACGGAATTAAAAAATGGTAAAATCATAAAAATCAGTTAAAAATTGAATAAGTTACCGGCAAAAACGAAATTTTTAGCGGAAATCCCTACCAAAATAATAATTTTTTGGCCCCAGATCAACCATAAAAAATATGAAATATCAACTTTATATGAATGCGTCGAAAAATTATCGATGATTATAGATTGTGATATCTGGATGATTTGTTTGGAATTAAATTGATATTTTACGATCTGGGTTAAAACTTTCCGAATTTGTATGGACGCTACATTTTTCGTTTTCAACAATTTTCTCTTTATAGACTCAACAGATAGATGTAAGATTAGTAGCGATCACCATCGATAATTTTTAGCCGTAAGCCTATACTCTCTTTTCTTTATAATGAATACTCTTTTAAACTAGAATAAATTTCACGTATGAATTAAATCTTCCATGAAATGTTTTCAAGAATAACCTCTCTAAAAGAAGAGTTATTGGGAAGAACAAACATGTTTTAAATTTCTTTCAATTTGTCATCCTCATGCTTGTGCGTAAAATTAAACCCAGAGTAGCTACGAGGTCACAAAGTCAGACCAATAATTTTGCATAAATTTGAACTTCCTGTTCTGTCATAGTTCACAGTTTACATAAAGTGCCATTTAAAGGGACAGACCGGCTTTGTAAGCTGATTGAACTGAGTATGCAGTGTTGTGGACAAATTCTTTAGCCTTCATTTGCGAAGTATAAAACTTTTAAAAGTTCTGTAATTCCTGAGTTTGAGCACACAGTCGACGTTCAAAATCGTATTTTTTGGTGGATAAGTTTTTAGAATTGTTTTTTTCTAATTATTAAATAAGGACGACAAAAAATGTAAACAAAATTCTACAGTAAACTAATTAGTTGTTTAGGAACAGGTTCAGAAAATAAAAATTCATCTTATCATTATACATTGTGGAAAAGTTTTATATGTCTCAAATAAATCCTAAAGAATTTGTCCACAACACTGCATACTCAGTTTAACTACCTTACATAGCCGGTCTGTCCCTTTAAAGTAAATGTAGAATTAATTTTAAGTGATCCTTCATTTACATAGTGCCATGTATGATTCACAACAGTATAATTATTTTACTAACCTTAAACTCTGAGAGACTTTGTATAATTCTTTCTGTTTCTACACTTGGTTCTTTACTAATACTTCGCTGTAACTCGAACGATCTTGTACTATTTCGTCGAAGATCCTCCGATTTAGTGCTACTCCCTCGTCGATGATCGTCCAGCCTGGTATTGCTCCCTGGCCGGGGATCGTCGAGTCGACTAATGCTCCCTTGACGTTGATCTTCAAGTTTACAATTACTCCCCCTTCTTTGGTCATTGCTCCCCCGCCGTTCGTCCGATTTGGAATAACTTTCCCGTCGTTTAGCGAGCAGATTTTTTACATCTAAAGATGTTGAGAGTTTACTTGTTATCACAGGTTTATCCTCTGTAGTATCACTAGTTTCCTCTTTTATAGACTCAGTAGCGCTTCCAGTTCGTTCATCCCCCTTTCTCCCGGGGTTCAAGGGATCAGCAACCACTGGAGGGGGCTCGGTGGTCTTAGCTTTAAACCGGCCCCATCCACCCAGCTTTTTAGGACCGTTGCTCGTTATTAACGGTTTCTCACTGTTTTCATCGACAGCGGTCAGATCAGAGGACACCTAGTGAAAAGAAAGTTCAATAAAAATTAAAACTTTCAAAAGAAAACCAAGGTTGGGGTTGTATGTTTATTTTATTTCTTAACATGTTTTAAAATCTGAAAATTTAAGATTTAGTGAGTAGTTGTTGAAAAATGTTTATTGTAAAGCCAGGAAAACAATAAATCATGCATTAAATCATAATTTTATAATCTAGTTAAATAAAGCTTATATGCAATGTTTTTTTAAACCTTTCAGATTTAAGTTTCCCTTCGAGGTTTCTCAAAAAAGATATATACATAAATATATAAATGTATATATAGATATATAAATATATATAATATATATATTAAAAGTTAGATTCGGTGTTTTTAAAGCCATGCTTCCCAAAATCTACAATTTTACAGTTTTGATGCAGCAAGGTTTTTGAAAATCTGAAAAAGTAAGATTTCTTTTTTGTTGACAAAATGTCAATTGAAGTTTCTATTTCCCTCTCTAATATTAGAACACAAAGAATTCATTTGAAATAAGTTTCTAGCTAGTGGGTAGGGTCCAAGATCAAACACAAGCTTTAACAATCTCTAGGCTTTTACGAATATGAGTAAAAATGTAGATTTTTTTTGCGATTTTGAAATTAAAATTTCAAACATCTTCTCTGTCTATGAAATGTCCTGTCTACAAAATTTCCTGTCCGTGAGAAAACGTCCTGTCAATGAAAAAAAACTGTGCATGAAAACGTCCTGTCTATAAAATTTCCTGTCAATAAAATGTCTTATCTATGAAATGTCTTTCCCCAATTACTTTAAGCACTTATATAATTAAATTCACCGCAAACTGACTGATTTCTTGCATCAAACTCTTTGATATTTGATGATTTAATCTGCAGATTACATAATTTGAAATATCTAAGCAGTAGAAGACTGTGAGACATTCAGAAAATGCACTTTTGGACTAATTCAAGGTGTTTGACTCATTGATGAAATACAAGAATAACTACTGTACTACTGTACTACTGTACTACTGTACTACTGTACTACTGTACTACTGTACTATTGTACTACTGTACTATTGTACTACTGTACTACTGTATTACTCTACAACTGTACTACTGTACTACTGTACTTCTGTAATACTGTGCTACTGTACTACTGTACCACAGTACTACTGTACCACAGTACTACTGTACTACTGTACTACTGTAATACTGTGCTACTGTACTACTGTACTACTGAACTACTGTACTTCTGTAATACTGTGCTACTGTACTACTGTATTACTGTACTACTGTACTACTGTATTACTGTACTACTGTATTACTGTACTACAGTACTACTGTACTACTGTACTGCTGTACTACTGTACTTCTGTAATACTGTGCTACTGTACTACTGCACTGCTGTACTACTGTACTACTTTATTACTGTAATACTGTACTATTGTACTATTGTACTATTGTACTACTGTACTACTGTACTACTGTACTACTGTGCTACTGTACTACTGTACTACTGTACTACTGTACTACTGTACTTCTGTAATAGTGTGCTACTGTACTACTGCACTGCTGTACTACTGTACTACTTTATTACTGTAATACTGTACTATTGTACTATTGTACTATTGTACTATTGTACTATTTACTACTGTACTACTGTACTACTGTACTACTGTACTACTGTACTTTGTACTGTACTGTACAACTGTACTACTGTACTACTGTACTGCTCCTGTACCTGTCTAATTATTTTGTTATTGTTTACCCCATCTGCTTCAGGTACTGCAGTTCCCAAAGCATTATTAAAAACGTAAACAAAAAAAATAAAATTCAAATCATTGTTTATTGTTGGGTGTATAAAATATAATAACATTAACTACCTAAGTTAAATTACAAAACTTAAAGAGTAAACCTTGGAATCTTAATAAACGCTAAAAAGGCAGAATTCATTTGTTGTCTTTAGTTCTAATATTCTATAGTGAAAATATGCTAAAGGGAGAATATGCTAAAGGGAGAATATTCTTTAGTGAAAATATGCTAAAGGGAGAATATGCTAAAGGGAGAATATGCTAAAGGGAGAATATACTAAAGGGAGAATATGCTAAAGGGAGAATATGCTAAAGTGAAAATATGCTAAAGGGAGAATATGCTAAAGGGAGAATATGCTAAAGGGAGAATATGCTATAGTGAAAATATGCTAAAGGGAGAATATGCTAAAGGGAGAATATGCTAAAGTGAAAATATGCTAAAGGGAGAATATGCTAAAGGGAGAATATGCTAAAGGGAGTAAGCTAAAGGGAGAATATGCTAAAGAGAGAATATTCTAGAGGGAGAATATGCTAAAGGAAGAATAAGCTAAAGGGTGAATAAGCTAGAGGGAGAATATGTTAAAGGGAGAATATGCTATAGGGAGAATAAGCTAAAGGGAGAATATGCTAGAGGGAGAATATGCTAAAGGGAGAATATGCTAAAGGGAGAATATGCTAAAGGGAGAATATGCTAAAGGGAGAATATTCTAGAGGGAGAATATGCTAAAGGAAGAATAAGCTAAAGGGTGAATAAGCTAGAGGGAGAATATGTTAAAGGGAGAATATGCTAAAGGGAGAATAAGCTAAAGGGAGAATATGCTAGAGGGAGAATATGCTAAAGGGAACATATGCTAAAGGGAGAATATGCTAAAGGGATAATATGCTAAAGGGAGAATATGATAAAGGGAAGAATATGCTAAAGGGAGAATAAGCTAAAGGGAGAATATGCTAGAGGGAGAATATGCTAAAGGGAGAATATGCTAAAGGGAGAATATGCTAAAGGGAGAATAAGCTAAAGGGAGAATATGCTAAAGAGAGAATAAGCTAGAGGGAGTGTTAACGAAAAATGCAAGGAGGTGTTGGCTGATGCTTGATAAAGACCAGCGAAAGATTGTTGCAATTATTAATTCCTTCAATATCAAATACACAGTATTTCACAGATAGCATGATCTCACGAAAAGATCTATTACTAATTTTGCCACTTACTCTGTTTAATTTAATAAACATTTAATAATTTAATAAAAGAATTGAAGAAATGAGTAAAAAGATGAATAAATAAATAATGAATGAAAGGATGAATAAATATAAAAGGAAGGATGAATAAATGAATGCATTAAGTAATAAATGAATAGGTGGATGAAAGGATGAATAAATGACTGCTTTGTATTCCTGAGTATGGTGTACTGATCTCTATTCCTGAATAAAACACAAAAGTTACAATTTGAAAAAAATTGCAATTGAAAAAAAATTCTAATGAATTTAATTTAATTTAAAATTTTCCAGGTTTGTTTAAGAAAAAAAAAATCTTGGAATGGATTTACAATTGTCTCAAAACATGGCCAGACATTTATCAACCTTTTTCGGTCTTTCAACGTTTAAGAAATCTATCCCACTATGAGCCGAATGTTTTCTTATATTCTGTGTTTTTTCCTGGAGTAAGATTCATAGAGGAGTTTACACGGCTTATACAGGGAGAAAAATCTAACCCTGATTATCAGTCTCTCTTTTTTAATTGATATTTGAAAATTTCATCCCCCCCCCCCCCAACCCATTTCAGTCTACTAATTGCGTAATCCGAGCCGGTTCAACATGTACTGTATTGTGAATATGAATTCAGTCGTACAGTCCAGTCTTGACTACCCTGCAGTGAAGAGTCGACCCTGCATGTTTTATGCAACAAATTTAACCTGGCAAGATCACAGTGCCCCGCCCCTCCTCTTCCTCCTTCCGTTAATAATTGTTTATTTCTATTATTTTTTGTTTGCGTACACTTACAGTGAACACCAGAAAACTGAGGAAAGAAATTCTTCTTTTAGTTTGTTAAAATATAAAAAAATTTTATGATTAAAGAAAACGTCGAAATGTTCTCCCTGGTAATTACTGTTTTCACTGCTGAAGCGAGGGATAAGATAATGAGAGGAGGGATTTAGAAAAATGAGGGAATACATTTAGAGTTTAAATTAAGTAGATCTCTAAAGGGAGTGACCTACCATTATGCAGATTGAGAAGAATGAAAGAGAGTGATCACCAACATATGGGATTAGCAAAGGGTTTTTTTGAATTTTTCCCACTAAATAAAAAACTGGAACTACTTAATTCTAAAGTTATTTAATTCTGCCAAACCGTTGGGCTTGTCACTGTCACTGGGCTACTATACAATTCAAATTACTGGAAATTTTTCTATGTTTCCAGTTTTTTTTAAAAACTTTTTATTAATAATTTATTAACGTTTCATAACTAATGTAATCCTATTTGTACACTCGGGTTTTAACCACCAAAACTTAACGATGATCATTTTTAGGTAATTTCTTCAAAGTTTGTTTGTAATCGAGGCTATTTCTTATCATTTCAATGAAACGTAATTTGCCAGTTTCTTTATTCAAACTAAGAACTGGGAGTGAATGTATAGTAGTATCCCGTCTACAGACCAATGATGAAGAATACTTCTAAGGTCGATCTATCCATTTAATATGGTAGTGTACTATACTTTTCATAAGTAATGTACTAATTATTTAAAATTCAAAAAAAATTGATTAACTACAAATTAAATCAAAGAGAGAGAGAGAAAGAAACAACATTTTTTTTAATAGTGACTATCTATATCTGGACTAGGAATTTAAAAAGAGTGTCCACTAACAGATAACACAAAGGAATTGAGTCTTTGTAACAAACTCTGCTTTTCTAAATCCTATATCTTTGGATTCCAATGTCGTAGACCTTAGATATTTCAAACTATAAATTCTGTTAGATCAAATAATATAATTTTGAAATATCAAAGATTTACGACATTGGATTCCAAAGATATAGGGATTATAAAATCAGAGTTTGTGGCAAAGACTCAATTCCTTTTAACAGAGCGACTATCAACAGAAAAACTATGATTTGTTTATATGTTTTCTGTTTTGAGACCCAATTGAAAATAATAGTTTGGGAAACTACTTGAATCCTCGTGAAGCCTCTGAAAACTCTTATGCCATTAGGCGAATACAACATGATGAACAATACAAGCCGCCGACAGGTAATTTTAAAATGTAAATATTTCCCCTTTTTATATGTTTCTTAATAAAAGAGTGATTTCCTTTTTCTGGATCGAAAATTAGAGAGTTGAGATCACTGCTGGTGTTCGTTTTCTTGAATTTGGAGAAAATCTTCCGAACAATATGATCCTAAACAAGTAATTTATTAATCCATCATCCATCAACCATCAACCATTGATCTTAAATAAGTAATTCATTAATCCATCATCCATCAACCATCAACCATTTATCCTAAACAAGTAATTCTTTAATCCATCCTCCATCAACCATTTATTCTAAACAAGTAATTCATTAATCCATCATCCATCAACCATTAATCATAAACAAGTAATTCATTAATCCATCATCCTTCAACCATCAACCATTGATCCTAAACAAGTAATTCATTAATCCATCATCCATCAACCATCAACTATTTATTCTAAACAAGTAATTCATTAATTTATGCATTATTTTTTTCATCATTTTTGCAACAAAACATTAACTGGATTTAAAACCTGTTGCCAAATTAATTGAGTCATTTCCTCAGCCGCAAATTTTGCAATTCTTGGCCTTAGTGGTGTAATTCTTTGATATTTCTGCAGATATTTCAAACTTAAATTATTTGATTCAACAGGATGTTATGGTTTGAAATATCTAAAGTCCATAACAATTGCTTGCAAAGATTTAGGAATTAGAAAATGAGAGTTTGTGGGAAAGACTCAACTCCTTTGTTATTGAAAGACAAGAATAAAATTGACAACACATTAGTTTCATCAACAATGATCCATACAATGATGTTGGGTACTTTCCCAATGTTTTTTTCCCCTACCGGAAACTTCCCAAGGTTTTTTTTCCCAAGTGTCAACTTCCCAAATGTGCAATTTCCCAAGCGACAACATCCCAAGTCTGTCCTAGCCGCAGCGCTAGGTCCCCTAGCTGTTTCTATCTGCAGCGCTAGGTCCCCTAGCTAGTTCTAGCCACAGTGCTAGGTCCCCTAGCTAGTTCTAGCCGCAGCGCTAGGTCCCCTAGCTAGGTTTAGCCACAGTCCTAGGTCCCCTAGCTAGTTCTAGCCGCATCGCTAGGTCCCCTAGCTAGTTCTAGCCACAGTGCTAGGTCCCCTAGTTAGTTCTAGCCGCAGCGCTAGGTCCCCTAGCTAGTTCTAGCCACAGTGCTAGGTCCCCTAGCTAGTTCTAGCCGCAGTGCTAGGTCCCCTAGCTAATTCTAGCCGTAGCGCTAGGTCCCCTAGCTAGTTCTAGCCACAATGCTAGGTCCCCTAGCTAGTTCTAGCCGCAGCGCTAGGTCTCATAGCTAGTTCTAGCTGCAGCACTAGGTCCCCTAGCTAGTTCTAGCCGCAGCGCTAGGTCCCCTAGCTAGTTCTAGGAACAGTGCTAGGTCCCCTAGCTAGTTCTAGCCGCAGCGCTAGGTCTCATAGCTAGTTCTAGCCGCAGCACAAGGTCCTCTAGCTAGTTCTAGCCGCAGCGCTAGGTCCCCTAGCTAGTTCTAGCCACAGTGCTAGGTCCCCTAGCTAGTTCTAGCCGCAGCGCTAGGTCCCCTAGCTAGTTCTAGTCACAGTGCTAGGTCCCCTAGCTAGTTCTAGCCGCAGCGCTAGGTCCCCTAGCTAGTTCTAGCCGCAGCGCTGGCCCCTAGCTGGTTCTAGCCGCANCAGCGCTAGGTCCCCTAGCTAGTTCTAGCCGCAGCGCTGGCCCCTAGCTGGTTCTAGCCGCAGAGCTAGGTCCCCTAGCTGATTCTAGCCGCAGCGCTGGCCCCTAGCCCGCCCTAGTCGCTGTGATCGGACCCCATTGCAGCTTGCGGCGCCTCGTAAGAATTGGGAGGTTGTTGTTTGGGAAAATATGATTTGTAAATTTCTCTCTAACAAATAACGCAAACATTTATCCTATATTTGTGCAAAAGCAATTAAACATTTATTCCGTTGGTATACTGTGCATTCTTACCTACTAGTGCGCATCGTAGAGGTATGTTTTTAGAATTAAATATTTCTTGACGTTTAAAGAACTCCACAAGAATGTAAGTTATTATTCACTTTGAAAATTGTGTTCCCGAGAAGTTTTCTTCTATTACATCATGCGAATATTTTTCGGATCAAAGATATTTGACAAAACGATTTTTCAAAACGGAAAACGCTAAACAATTTTACTAATTGTTTTGACAAATCGTTTAGGTGAATATCATTGGTCAGAATAATAATCAAATTGATCAAATAAAAGCAAAATTGTCTAGCATGGAATTTTGATATAGGACTTACATAAGATTATCGCATGTGGAAACTCTCAAAATCCTAAACCCATTAAATATTTAAAAACGGTGTCCACCTGAGACTGGTTTAGAGCAGGATCATTTTTTCTCCGCTCTGCTAGTTCCTTCTCCCTTTTCAGGTCCGATACTTTACGGAATATCAACTAAATAATAATAATAATAATAATGACTATGATTTGTTTATATGTTTTCTGTTTTGAGACCCAATTGAAAATAATAGTTTGGGAAACTACTTGAATCCTCGTGAAGCCTCTGAAAACTCTTGTATATTAAGATATTATATTTACTATTTTACTCACCCTATGCCTGAGATTGTATGTGAGGATTAGATTTCTAGAGAATGATTGAGCAAATGCTTTGTAGAAGTCTAACACTTCGAGCAGACGATCCCTGAACAAAAAATTCTCTTGCAAAAAAATATTTTGCCAATTTGTTCCTTCAAACTGAAATTAGAAAAAGCTGTAAAGTGTTTATGTCTAGGGCTACACAAATGTATAAGGAATTCACTAAGGCAAAAACCAGAGATTTTGCAACAATTAAAAGTTGACCCAGCACAAGAGAATAGTTTATAATTTAAGGAGACAATTTTAAAGATTTATATAATTTTCGAAGTTTCGTAGAGCAATTCATAAATGCATTGAATATTTATATTGCAAATATAAAGAAAAACACCGCTAGATTGTATATATGTATATATACAATATAGTTTACTTAAGTTTTGCTCTTTTGGTGGTTTTACTTTACATTAGAATTCTTAATGAAAAGTTTTTGCACTAATTACAATGGTGTATTGCTAAAAAATACTATTTCTAGAAAATGTCTACAGAATAATAGAAAGTTTCTGCAAGTATTGAGTTTTCTTTTAAAAATTCATCTCAAGAAGAGAACATTTCCGCCATTTTCCTCAGATAACAATATATCCTGTCCCACCTATGTTTTGATTTTAAATCCCTAAAAAATATTTTGAAAATATTTTTATATCTTCAAAACTAATTTAATAAGTAGGATAATTAAAACAATTTGGAATTAAGAACGGATTAAAATGATTAATTAAACTTTCTTATCTAACAGGACGTAGAACTGAAGTGTCATAGTGTAAAGCCTCAAGTGCCTAGTGTCTAGTGTCTAGTATCTTTAATCTAGTTTCAAGTGTCTAGTGTCAAGACTTAAGTGCCTAGTGTCTAGTGTCTAGTATCTTTAATCTAGTTTCAAGTGTCTAGTGTCAAGATCTAGTATCTTTAATCTAGTTTCAAGTGTCATAGTGTAAAGCCTCAAGTGTCTAGTGTCTAGTGTCTAGTGTCTTTAATCTTGTTTCAAGTGTCAAGTGTCAAGACTCAAGTGCCTAGTGTCTAGTGTCTAGTGTCTAGTGTCTTTAATCTTGTTTCAAGTGTCTAGTGTCAAGACTCAAGTGTCTAGTGTCTAGTGTCTGTAATCTAGTTTCAAGTGTCTAGTGTCAAGACTCAAGAGCCTAATGTCTATAATCTAGTTTTAAGTGTCCAGTGTCTAGTGTCTAGTGACTAGTGTCTGGTGTCTATTACCTATTAACAAGATGTATATCACAGTATGTAAGAGCACGCACGTTAGCCATAGCTTGTCCCGTCTCCCCTTCCTTCCAGAATGCATCTCCAAATACATCATTTTTTCCTGCCAAATAATATTTAGAGTTCAGTGTCCTCCTTTTATATTACAAACTGAGCTTGGGAACCCAGTTTTGCCTGGAATCTTTCTTAAAAATCGACCCCGTCAACTCAGAATCTTTAAACCCAACTAATAAAATTCCCATGGTTCTCCCAAATTAAAATTTGAGGCAAATCGATCCAAGGGGTTCCTCGGACATACAAACAAACAAACAGAGATTAATACTTCTTTATATATATAAAGTTGTAATCTCTTTTTGTCTGTTTGTTTGTTTTTTCTCCGATCATAACTCAGGATTTTAATTTGAGTGGGTCAACTTTTATTGGGAAAAATCATAATTTACGACCAAGCCCGGGTAAACGGCGGAAGTAACTAAGTACACCAAGGGCAACGCTGGGTTCTCATGCTAGTTATATATATGTAGAGATTTATTTATTTCTGAATGTTGAAAGGGATATGACCTATGAAAATGTTCTGAGTTACTTTTCTTGTTAACAAATTTTTTGCAAATAAAAATATTTTAAAAATCCTTTCGCAATATTTCATAACTGTAAATTGAAAAAAAGAGAATATCAAAAAAAATTAATTTTATTGTATAATTTAAATTACCTAAGATTGCTACAACTTCGTCGTCTTGAATTACTTCTAAAGATCCTAAAAAAACATCCTTATAAAACCTTACATTAACGTACCTATAAGGAACCTATTCAAAATTGATTTTTTTGTTAAAATCCAAGCTGTGACCTACAGATTTTGTTTAGTTTAAATTTTTCTCGGGTCTTAATTTCTTCAATTTCTAAGTTTACGTTTTTTTCATTAACTTTTTTCCTATTATCTTTCCCAAATAGATTCTGTACATTATTGTACATTGAACAATAAAGAAAGTTCTAAATATTTTACTAGAAAGTTGAAAACTTTTGAGGAGAGAATGATAAAGCAGTTTGTATTGAGATGACAGAAGAGTTTACCTGATACTATAAAACAAAGATTGTCTATGCTCTCTCCGGTGTGATAGAGTAGGTCCCCGGGGGCACTGAAACATTCGGTGATTAATAGAGTAGGTCCCCGGGAGCCCCGGACTAACCATAGTGAGAAGCATTCGTTTTCTATTAATTGAAATAATTCAACAATCTTAAAACTTACGGATTTGTTTATTTTATACGTTTTCATTCAAAACGTTTAAACCGACAAGAAAGTATTTTAGAGAAAAGATTAAAAATTTATGTTTAAGGGGTCAAACTGTGATCGAAAGTCACAGCTTTCTGAAATATTCACACAACCGTTAAATCCACATTAAAACATTCGGTGATTAATAGAGTAGGTCCCTGGGGCACTAGAACATTTGGGGATTAATACATTAGGTCCTCCAGGGCACTAGAACATTCGGTGATTAACAGAGAATGGTATGGGGGCACAAGAACATTTGCTAATAAATTTGTTGAATGATCGGAACGGGTACACGGATTTGTTGGTCTAACTTGTAATATGCATATGCTTGTGTACCATTGGGTCTATCATCTATGGCTTTAAAAGGATTATGTACAAAATGAAGGCTGGCTTGATCAATGAATGCACTAAACCATTATATGCTAGAAAAAAAGATACCAGGATTTGTGTTTGCCCTTTGAAGTTCATTGTTCAATCAAATAGAAATCAATGTTTTTTTCTAGAATTTTAGGAGAAAGTGGAAACATAGAAAATATGTAATAACTAGGGCCCATCTTGTATTTAAATTGTGAACATGTTCTTTTTGTTTACATTTTAAAATAAAGAAGAAAATTTTTTATGGATTTTTAAAAAAAAATTCGCGGATTTTCAAGAATTTAAATTTTTTACAAAATTAAAAACCTTTAAAACACATTTTTTTTAATTTTTATCATTCATAAACCTTCCCTGTGGTCACGTGATGTCCCACAAAAAATTTGGTCTCGATCGGTTCAGCCGTTTTGACGTTTATTGGATACAAACAAACAGACATAAACACATTTTTTTTAATTTTTATCATTCATAAACCTTCCCTGTGGTCACGTGATGTCCCACAAAAAATTTGGGCCCGATCGGTTCAGCCGTTTTGACGTTTATTGGATACAAACAAACAGACACCCAAACAGACAAGCCAAATTTATATATAGATATATAGTATGGCTACAGTATAAAAGGATGGTTATTTCTGTTCTTTTTCTAATGGTATTTATTTAGTCTTATCATAATAATAATCTATATATTCTATGTGATATATATATAAAGCTTGTCTGGAAAATGCTTTTAGACATATTGGGTATTAATATTACACACATATTCCATTCTCCAGTAATACTGTAACCAATCTCTATTATTATTATATTATTCTTGTGAACACTGTTAATTTACGAAATTGTGTATATCTCTGCATATTTTTAAACATACTATTCAAAATCTTTAAATCATTCTGTTTTTAAGTCAAACTGGAATTACTACTGTTTTTAAATTTTATATCAAAATATTTGAAGCATGTGAATTGATTTAAATGCAAGGCGCCACTATGAGACCTGCCCCATGGTGGCTAAAAGTGCCAACTGATAATTTCTTAACTTTGAATATATTCATATACTACTCAATTATTTTGAATAGTTTATTAAAAATAAGGGCGAACAGTGCACAGAATAATTCAATAGTAACGGTTATATTTTTTTTTATTTGATTCATAGCAAATATTTACAGTGAATAATATAAAAAGTATTTGTTTCTAGAACCCTCTAACCCTCCCTTCCAATTCCCTCCTAGGTTAAGGATTACATTTTTTTATCATTTAAAAACTTAAATTGATTGGCAACCGATAGGGTTACCCACAAAGGATGAGACTTCAGAGACGACTGTAAAGAATTTATTCACTATTTTTTCTTAAATTTCTGGTTCAGTACTATCGTTTGCAATTGTTGTCATTTTGAGAGATTATATCTTTGTTATGTATAATTCAGTATAAAGCAAATAGATTATTAAAGGGACCGTTCACTTATTTGGGTAATTTCAGTGTAAACTAAACAGCCTATTCGCTTTTGATTTGTAATAGTCTTACTTTTCAAAGACAACTGTGGCCGGAGAAAAAGTCCATTTTTCGTTCAGAATTCGAGCGCAAAGGGACGGTCCCTTTCTATAGACACTAATTGATGTTTTTTTTCAGCATGTTTTGAATCTAAATAAATTTCGAATATAAAATTAAACATTAGTATCTAATCGTTAATTGTAAATGTCATTATTTTTAATTTTTTGTTTTGTTTTTTAACTCTCTATTTCTAAAATAACACTATTTTATCGCATTCAAAATTGTGTATTGCCTGTGTAAAAATCTGAATTGAACGCGGCATGACAAATGAAAAGTTGTGCACATACGGGAAAAAAATATACAAAATCTACGAACCAAAATACGAGTAATGATTAATTGATTGTCGTAGAGACGTCGTCTTTGTAAACACATTTTACATGTTTTAATACGAAAAACGTAAATTTCTTGCTAATTCAAATATCAAACGTTTTCAGATTTTAGTACATAATAACGAACACATAATGATATTGAAATATAATAAATTTAAATGTTATTGGGCTGCTGTTACTGAAAAAACATAAAATAGTGTCTATAGAGAGGGACCGTTTCTTTCCGCACAAATTCTGAACGAAAAATCGGAGTTTTCTCCGGCCACAGTTGTCTTTGAAAATTAAGACTATTACCAATCAAGAGCAAATAGGCAGTTTAGTTTACCCTGAAATTACCCAAATAATTGAACGGTCCCTTTAAGTACAATAGGTGGCAACAGATAAATGGACCAACTTTACACAACAGCACAAGTGTAAAATATTACGAGAAAACGAAATTTTCTTACACTAGTAGACATGTTTTCCAAGATTAAAAAAAATTTAAAATATTAAATAAATAACAAATAAAATTGCATTTATTTTACTGTAAGAGCACTGTTTTCAAAAATTATCACTATTATAAATAATTTTGTCAGACACGAAAACTGAACTAAGTTGACACTTGTGACGTCAGAATACAGCTGAACTGAGAGTGTACAAATTCTACGTTGGCATCTACTGTACTAGTATAAAGTTTAAAGTTAACCTTTTTACCGTCATTTTCAAACAGTTTTAGTTCGTCAACAAATTTTTATCCTTGAGAAGTAACCCTGTACTTTTAGATAACCCTGAGATTACTACGATGACCGTTGGCACTGTCTTGGGGTAAACATAAGGAAGAAATATCGCAATTAGAAATATCAGCTATCTCATAGATAACCAAGGATCACTTCCCCAGATAAATATGACAAATCCCACCCTTAAAAATAAATCACTGGAAATTACGCCAGCTTACAGTCTGTAATACCGTTAATTTTATTTTCAATTGTGATTGCTGCCAGGGCAGGGCAGAGTTCCGTAAACAAAACGGAGGATTTCAAAAATAAACGGAAGTTTCCGTTAATGAACGGCAAAACTAGTTAATTTTCAAATTGTTAACGAAACGGATTAGCAATTTTTGAATATAAATAACGGGTTAAAACCCGGTTAAAACAAAAACGAAATGAATTTTTTACCAAAAACGGTGAATTTTGTTTTTGTTTTGCTAAAAATTGCATTGAACTTGTAAAACACAACAATTTTTAGCTTTATTGTTTAAAATTTTTTTGTGCTTTGCGCCGTTAACACTGTCAATACTGTAATAGACCTTTAAGGGCTGTGCCTTTAACAATTTCTTGAACCGTTCACAAAATTTTTAATTCTGTAATAACAAATGAAAATTGTCCATTAACGCCATTAATAGAATTAAGATCGTTAACTAACGGTAACTTTAAAAATAACGGAAAAATACCATTAACGAAACAAAGTTTTGTTTTTATCCTCTAAAACTAACGGCTATCTGAAATTTAATTCTAAAAACAGTTGGAACTATCCGTTAACAAAACGGCTTTAAAAAGTTGGAACATGCCCAGCCCTACTTTCTGCATAAAAATGTTATACAAAGTTCAATTGTTTAATACAAATAAAGTATAAATACGATTATTAAGTTGACACCGGGTGGCGAGAACTCATTTTTATTGGAACCCCCCCCCCCCTTCTAAATTGAATTTAGAGTCTGAACATGATTTACTCTGACATTTACATTATTCTTACATAATATTCACAAGGGAACTATTAAATATTTCTAGGCTAGTAGAAATACAGGATTAACCAGAAAAGATTATATTTTTAGGGACGCCTGTACCTGTGTTTAGTAAAAACACACATATATCTGTGTTTAGTATAAACACACATATATCTGTGTTTGGTAAAAACAAACTATATCTGTGTTTAGTATAAACACACATATATCTGTGTTTAGTAAAAACACACTATGTATGTGTTTAGTATAAACACACATATATCTGTGTTTATACTAAACCAAGGTTGTGTAATAAGGTTGTTTGCTCTCTATGCACTCCAATGTACGGAAAATGTCGTTCTATGGTTAGGAGATGACATTTTCCGTACATTGGAGCGCATCGAGAGTAACCATTCTTATTATACAACCTTGACATAAACATTAAACATACCTGTGTGTCATTGTAAAATGCATTGCTAAGGCTCTAAGACAACCATCACTTGCCAGTCTAAAGGCTGGATGTTCGTTAAAAACCTGAACAAATAATAATGAATTGCTATATATTTTGGAGATCCGTAAATATCGTCTTCCAGTCGTAAAGCTCTGAATTCCAAACCAAATATATTTACAGATTTTCCAACTTATGTTGTAAGTTATACTTAAATAAACACTTGTTCGTGTATTTGGTCTTTTATTCGTCCCTACAATATTATATATAGATATACAATATAGATATTAAAATAATATCATATATTATCATAATAATATTAAAAATTTGTAATAGAAAAAAGTTTTGCATTAAAAAAGGGAATTATAGTTCAAGATTCAACATTACCTTTTTAATGACAGCTTTAGTAAACATTTTATCATACAATTATCTTAAAACAAACCTCGGGGTTGGAATTTTTCTACGTTTATTCATTAAACATAAGCAATAATACAGAGTGACGGACTAGGTTTATTTCGTTTGCCTCATACAAAATCGCTTGAAATAAAAGTTTCCGTGCTAATATTGAGTTAAGCGAGCTGAAAATGAACGAGTACAGTAAGGTACTTAAACTCTCGCTCATATAGAAGAATACTTGTAGGTTATACTCTTAGATAGCCAAGTCTACATGTAACACAGCAATTGTGCAGTGAAAACAGACCCATTTTACGCAATAAGCTGATGTTAAAGCTACTTGTAAAACTATTTGATTTATACCAATATTAATTACACATTTTCTACAGTTCCACTGTATACAAACTGTACCTTTCTGTTGAGATGAACACAGATATCTGCTTTCATATCCTTGGGACAGTAGTTTAGCACCTAAAACAGAAAATATATAAGTTACAAAATAAATATTATCTAGTATTAAAAATAAAACTTAAATAAAAAAAATTATGTTACCCCCAATGGCCCAGATTCCTTAAAAAAGATTAGCCATTTTGCCAGGTATAGCTAGGGCAGGGCAAAGTTCCGTTAACGAAACAGCGGTTTTTGAAAATTAACGAAAGAGTACGTTAACGAACAGAAAAAACCCTTAATTTTTAAACAATCAACAAAACAGATTAGACGTTCTTGATAAAAATTAACAGTCAAAAACGAAAACAGAACAGATTTTCTTTAAAACTTGCATTAAAGTTGTAAAAAAAATTATTTTTATGAGTTTTGATGTTTTCAAATGTCATCTTCTGTTTTCACATTCTTAAATGCCGGGAATAAGATCACAGTAACCTTAGAATTTTGAAAACAAAAATTTGGAGTTTGCCCAGCCTTGAAAGAATCTGAGTTCTCATCAGAATAGGTTAAATATAGTTGATTTGGATATCTTGATACTTATACTCAGTCCGCAGGAAAGGATAAACATAATTTAACTTAAAGAACCCTTAACGATTTGACAAACCGTTAACGCCGTTAATTATAAAATAGACCGTTTATGTTTAAGCCGTTAACAATCTCTTTAACTGTTAACATTTTTTTTGGCATTCTGCACTGTTAATTCTGTAATTATAGAGCGTTAATGGCTGTAGCCGATAAGATTTTCCGGTAAGGTCCTGAATAAAATTGAGATTGTTAATTAAAGGTAATTTTAAAAAAAACTGTTAAATGCCGATACGGAAACCAATGTTCTATTCTTACCTATAAAATTATTGGATACCTGAAATTTCTCATTTTTAATGGTTGGAACTAAGTGTTAACAAAACGGCTAAACAAAGTTGGAACATGCCCAGCCCTAGCTATAGCTACGTATATATATATATATGAGTAAAGAGCTCTAATATATAGTCTAGCATGGTATAACATAAGACGGAACAGTCTGTGTAATTGACCTGTACAGACAACTGATTCTTGATTTGGAGAAGTAATGTTAACTCTCCTTAACAACCTTCTGCAATAGATAACTATTTTGATAACCTCCAGTAAGGCTAAAAGAAACAGGAGAATTGCAGGGAAACTGAGCTCAAAGCACTCCAAGTCCATATTTTGCTCAATCATAGTCATATTGTATACTGTTTTATTGACACCGAATAAACAATCTCTATTTCAGTATACCTGGTGCTGAAGGATGTGAAGGGGCTGGTTTGTGTTTCTGTAAACTTAACATGGTTTAGTGTTAAATCTCTATTTCAGTACACCTGGTGCTGAAGGATGTGAAGGGGCTGGTATGTGTTTCTGTAAACTTAATATGGTTTAGTGTTAAATCCAATATATTAATCAAAATGATAAATGGGGCTGAAGCTCTTAAACACAATTTTCGATTAATTCCTTGGTAGTAACCTGGAGTTGCAAAAAGAGCAACACCTGTTACAGAAAGCGTGAACAAGGCAAAACAAACAATGCTTGGAATAACTCTTGGTTCAGCAATCAGCGCATACTTAGCTAGACGAGGAAAGCCGATATAACAGTTGACTAGTTGTTTGTGTTTACCAGTAAGCCTATCACAAGGTATCTAATAATAACCAGCTCTTCAGTGAACAAGAACTAAATACAGAGTCCTCCAAGGATGGTCTGTTGGGGTCGATTTAAAAGAAATGCTTGCATCTAAACACAGGTTGTAAGGGATAGAATTGAACTTAATATATCCACAAATAGTGAGTACAGCTTTGGATTGCTAGGAAAAATGTTACAAAGCTGCAATTGGTTGTTGAAATAAAGCAAATTACATCATTTTCTAAAAACATGGTTGCTCAGTTAAACCACGTTCAGAATTCTTCTGCAGAAACCAGCAAGATCGGATTGAAATATTTATTTATAATTAGTTTTAGCAATGACATTATAAGATGATCCTTTTTTCAAGCTGAACCTTGCTGCTTGCCTGAACCCATTGAGAGAAACTTGTGTGGGTAGTTTCAAATAGTAAACAAAGAATCAAGAGTACATATTTTGAGTGGTTTTATCTAAATTGTCTGTATTCAAAAAATAAATCATAAATTCATAGTTTTGTTCAAGGATTTACATTCTTGGTTTTGTTACTCATTGCTGATTTTTCAAAGTAGGGAATTAATTTAGTAAGTAAAGAAAACACTCATTTTTTATTATTGCAATTTTTCTGATACTAAGTTTATCTTTGTTGCCAATTTAAGTCTTTCCACCTTCGGGCTTGGACTGGTCAAGGATACCGGAGAACTCAGTTTATATCTAGAAAAAAGCTCGAGTGGAAGTTGCTTTATCTGTGAAAACGAATTTACTTGTAAACTTCATTTTATACAAGCTATTCCATTAACTAAGACAACTAATGATTCCAACAAAATTTTCATTGTAAGAATTTCGCGATGTTTTTGCAAAAGTGAAACAAAACTTTGTAAATTGTTGCTAGATTTGTGTTCAATATTCGTTTGATAAATTCGATTTCTTTTGCCCTTTTTGCATCAAAAAGAGTTTCACATAGCTAACAGGAGTGTGTAAATAGATATTTCTAGAGAATAGATAATAATAGATAATAATAGATAATAACAGATGATATAACATAGATAATAATAGATAATAACAGATAATACTAGATATAATAATAAAAATAATAGATAATAAGTTAGTTTAAAGATAATAATAGATAATAATAGATGATACAAAATAGATAATAATAGATGATATAAAATAGATAATAATGTGCACTGCCACTGTACCCACAAGGATAAGGCTTTAATGACGACCTGAAACTCTTTAACAACGAAGATCTAAAGATTGAAATTGGCTTTCTGTCCTGAATAGGGAACATAGTGAACATTGTATATTTAATGATTTGGTAAACAAATATAACAGCTGCAAGGAACATTTAATTAATAAGCATTGACTCAAAAATTAGACTGCTGTCTCTTAAGTGGCATCCTTTGTGGATAATCCTGTAATATAGTGCGAGTACAGGTTACAAGCATCTTTATAATATACAGACGAATACCCTTCTTGAACATGACGACTTCAGCTGAACATGACGACTCAAAAATGACTGAGTATAATGCTAGATGGTAATCTCCGAGATGGGAGTTTGTAGATCCTTCTCTTATCTTATCTAATTCCTACTTGACCAGACAAACTGTGGAAGGTACCATTTCGAAAAGAACATGCCAATCTACCAAGACTTCCTTTCAACCTACCATTTTTGTGAAGACTTCCTTTAAACCTACCATTTTTGTGAAGACTTCCTTTAAACCTACCATTTTTGTGAAGACTTCCTTTAACCCTACCATTTTTGTGAAGACTTCCTTTAACCCTACCATTTTTGTGAAGACTTCCTTTAAATCTACCAATTTTGTGAAGACTTTCTTTTTAATCTACCAATTTTGTGAAGGCTTCTTTTAAATCTACCAATTTTGTGAAGACTTCCTTTAAATCTATCAATTTTGTGAAGGCTTCCTTTAAATCTACCAATTTTGCGAAGACTTCCTTTAAATCTACCAATTTTGTGAAGACTTCCTTTAAATCTACCAATTTTGTGAAGACTTCCTTTAAATCTACCAATTTTGTGAAGACTTCCTTTAAACCTACCAATTTTGTGAAGACTTCCTTTAAATTTACTATTTTTGTGAAGACTTCCTTTAAACCTACCAATTTTAGGAAAACTCCCTTTAGACCTACCTTATCCTGATCTATTCCCTTCGTCATTGCCCAGGTGGAGACAACATAGTCCATCACTCTTTCAGACAAGGTTTTAGGAACCTTAAACAATACTAAATAATTTCAGAAATTTGAAACTTTTTAATCTTTTAAAGTTTTTTAAAAAGTTCGCACACCAAATTTTACAGGAATTTTCCAATACAAAATTGTATAGGGTGTTTCTACTGAGAGGCAAAATTTTACTTTAATTTCTTTTAAAAATGATGTTCCTAAACAGAAAATTAGTCTTTAAAAATATATTTCGAGGGAAGATATTAAATTGGATTAAACAAGTCCGGTGACATTTCGTGCTTTTTCTTCTTTGTATTCTGCAAAATCAAATTAACAATAGCGAACTAAATTTTGTTTATATGGATTCAGTTGTACTTTTAAGATGGCTCTTTTAGAGTAAGTTTGTCTCATTTGAAATTGAATTAATTCTGGCCATTTTCTTTCTGATAAAGAAATAGACTGTGAGGTAAAAATCCCTGTTTTCTAAAAACATATTTTTAAAATCCATAAAAGATAAAGGTTTAAAGGGCTTACGATGTTGATGGTTGCTTAAAAATTCTTTCAACCTTCTTTTTCTTTTTAATATCTGAATTTAAATTTAGCGAGAACTCTCGAATTGTAATTAAATTTAATTTTAAAAGTGTTTCCAGAGAAAAAAAATAAATCTTATTTGTAATTTTTATGCAATCATGAGATTGATATGTAATTTCAGCCACATGTTCACTATTTTTCAAAGGTTGATTTAAATTTTTAAATATTCTATCTTCTCAGAACGGGGTTAGCTTTTATATGAACTGTAATATTTTACTTTTAAAAACCATCCATGGTCGATTTACAATGATACCATTTAAACCTTCATTTATATAAGAATAAAGAAAACATTTTCTATAATATATAGATAAATTTAGCTTGGGTGTCTGTCTGTTTGTATGTATCCAATAAACGTCAAAACGGCTGAACCGATCGGGCCCAAATTTTGTGTGGGACCTCACGTGACCCCAGGGAAGCTTTATGAAGATGATCAAAATTTTAAAATTTGTGCTTAAAAGTTTTTTATTTTTGTAAAATTTTGAAAATGCGCGAACAAATATTGTGAAATCGGCAACCTTTTGTTTTTGTTTTATACTGTACAAAGAGAAGATGCTCACAGATAAAGCCACAATTAAAAGATTAAATAGAAGATGCGCGCGAAGCGCTCTAAAAGCCTAGTAAAGTATAAAAATGTTAAACTATGTGAATTTCTTCTTATAGTGTCTTTGTATAAGTTACACTTTTTGCACAGAAAAACCACAAATGAAAAAAATCTATTACTTCATAACTGCATTTTTTAAAAGCCCTTGAAAAATGTGTAACAGCTAATAGTTGTACAAAAGCAAAAAGTTCATTTTTCACATTTTCACATTTTCAGGACTTTTTTGGGTCATTTTTTTCAAACCTCCCTTGCACCCAAACTATTGAAGTTAGCGGTCTATTTTTTTCAATGAGCTGGCCTTGAAAAAATGGGCTATGCACATCTATTGCAACCTTTTACGCTTATTCTAAAGCCTTTTTCTAGGGGGGGGGGAGGCACGGCCCCCAGGCTATACATAGATCATGAGTAATAGAGTATACTTACATGCTACAATCATCATGAGTATAGAGAATATCTTCTCATTATCTGTCTCGGAGGCGATGTTACCGAACCCTACGCTGGTCATGCAGGTCATCGTATAGTACAAAGCGGTCAGGTACATGGACTTCCTGGAGGGACCGCCCTGCAATAGGAATCCATAAAAAAAGAAATAGATTACTTGACAGTTTGCAAAGAAAATAAATGTGTGTGACGAAATACCAGTTCTATAACATTTAAAGGGACTATAAGCCTTATTATGACCCTCCAATGCCCAATTTACAACGGTACCATTTTAAACCTGTGACTGTTCAGTGTTCATCTAGTAAAAAAGAGCTGTGTGTTTTTATATCTTGAAAACCACGCGGTGCACAGATTATGCGTTACTTGTAAAGTTGTATTCCTTGATATTGCCAAATATTTTACTTTTAAACCGGTTTAAAAAATTCGGAAGAATATATCTATTATTTGCCAATTCTAGAAAGTCAAAAACTTAAAACGCTTGGAAACAAAGTGTTCAACAGTGAACAGCGTTTTCGTAGATTTATAAAAATAAGTCCGACAACCTTGTTCAATCAAAGGTTTAAGGGTACCGTTGTGAATCGGGTATAGCCATCTTCGAATAGAGAATCATTTCAAACTTACATTTACATCCCTTTAGTCCAAATATTCACTGTTTATAAATTCGTTAAAAATATTTATTTCTAAAACCCTGTAGAATAGTTGAAAATGAAAATAGTGTTAAATTGTGGTAAAAAGTTTTCGAATTACTTTACTATACTTACTTCCATACTTTTGAGAATTAATAAAGGGAAATTATTTATTTTGTATGACACTGAGGTAACACGCCCTACCTGGTACTTTATTTTCATAAAACTATGAATTAAGGTAATAAAATGTATTTGAATAAAAAAGTGTAGATAATGTTTTGTAGCATCAATTCCGGATATTGATTTTCAAAATTATTATGGGACAGGGACGATTTTTCTTAAAAATTATTCCATAAATCCCCCAATCTTTTTAATTTTAAACGGTTTATAAATCGATATTACCATTTTTTTTTAAAGATTAAGTTATTCAAAGAAAAACCAGACTGGTCAAAGTGGAACAACTAAAGGTACTGCAGGCATAATTTGAAAGTTGTCCAATTCATAACAGTGGCCTTTAATTGAGCAGCAGTGACAAACTATCGCAGTTTTTATATGTTTAAAAGTGTTGAATTCTGATATGTCTTTTTATCATCTTGGCTGATATAAATCCGCAAGTCATATTATTAATGAAACCACAATAGAAAATAATCAAACTTTGCATAAAAAAAACTAAAGTTTCTCATGTTTGTTAAAACCTGTATTCAGTGCAAACTTGTTTTTTTCTCTGAGAAGATAGTTAAGTGAGTTCTTGTTATTTTAAAAATAATTCAGAAAGCTTGAAATATGTTTTTTAATGTTCTTTTAACACAAAATGCAGTTTCAAACCGGATATACAACGATACCCTCAAAAATTAATCTTTTAATTTAACACAGCGCACATTAAAATGTGCAGCTGAAAACAAGAAGGTTTTGATCAATGAAAGCATTCAAATCTCTGAATCTGGCGAACTCACAAAAGTTTAAAGGATACCGTTGTGAATCGGACATTGCCCTAGTTGCATGAAGGGTCAATCAAAATTACGCTTACAGTCCCTTTAAAATCTAAATTAATGGAACTAAGAATATTTTAAAAGTCTTTTTTTTCTATTTTGTATTGAGTACATCGAGTACATCTTAATCTATTTAAGTGCATTTACTAAATACTTAATCGAGAAGACCTTTATTTATGGACTTAGAAATTACAAGAATAAGGGACTTATCGAGAAGACCTTTATTCAGGGACAAAACCCGAGACAAGCTTCTGGCTATAAGAAGGTAAACCTTGAGTTTATGGCTAGATAACTTGGGATATTAACTTAGATATCTGGCTTGAACATCCGGGATACCAGGACGTAAACCTTGGGTGTCTGGCTGGATAACTCCGGATATCAGTATGTAAACCTTAGATATCTGGCTGGATACCTTCAGATATCAGGACGTAAACCATGGGTATCTGGCTGGGTAAAATCCTGGTATTTTCTAAGAGATATTAAACCAGGATTGTATTTCGGAATATTCAAGCCGAAACCTCTATTATTAAAAAAAACGTAAACTTAATTTCAAGAACCTCCATGAAATGGTATTTCTGATTTGCATCGGTATCCTTTAATGCTTTGTCTGACTAAAAGTAATGAATAATCTGTCCAGTGTCCGTGTTTCTTATTTAGGAACATAATCATTTCCAATTGAAATTTCTCTATTAAAGAGTCTAGCGTTAGTTTTCAGAATTAAACAGCTAGAAAAACGATGATATCTTCACATTATTGATCAGATAAAGATTAAAAGAATACCTTTGTGAATTACAAGGAAGATCTTACCGTTAATATGATATTGATGACAGTGATATTATCATCTGCATAAATAGGATTTTGTCTGTATGGCTGCCGAGTCATCTCAGAAAGTTGGTACAACCAACCAAACTGTAGCCCGTTATTCAGATCAGCATTACCTAAACAACCAACCTTTACTGTAGCCTGTTTTCAGATCAGAATTACATATACAACCAACAGGTGTACACCATCAGTTTGCAAAGATTTAAGGCTATTATAAGGATTAGATAATCAGAGTTTGTGACAGAATGCAAGCAACAAATTTTGAGAAGAAACAGCTTATGAATATCTAACGTACATATTTTCAAATCTTTATCTTTCTGTCCGAAATTTCGAATAAAATATTCTTAAATTCGATATTAAAGGGACTGTAACCGTAATTTCAAGTGACCTTCCATTTATAGAAAGACATGTCCGATTCACAACGGTGCTTTTTAAACCTTTGTCCAGACAACAATCAGGTAGATACCATCATACTCTCATTCGTATATCTGAAGATTGAGTACAGGCAGACTCGAGGTTAGAGTGTGCACTGTACACTCTGTGCTTGTGTACGCGGTTTCTCGGCACTTCATTTCCCGCCATATTAATTTAGAATATCTACGAAGTTCTAGAACAAACAAAGGGTTTAAGGTATCATTGTGAATTAGACAAGCCACTCTACTAATAGAGGGTCAAATGAAATTTCGCTTACGGTCCCTTTAAGAACAAGGTAACACAAACAATTATCATTCAAGTACATCATTTTATTATTTTCATTAAAAAATGTTGTGAGCCTACTAACCTATTGAGTAGAAAATACAGGCCAGCCAATGAGCGACCAGCAAGAAAAAACAAAGGAGAAGAATTAGCATTGCTGCACCGTATTCAAGATATCTAGATCATTTAGATTATTATATATTATATAATAGTAATATATTCTCTATACAGATTCAAACTTTAAAAACAGTGATTCAATTGTGACGCTATTAAAATATATACTCTCTGCACCTAATTAAACAACAACTCTGTTAAAATATATACTATCTGCGCCTGATTAAACATAAAAATGTATACTCTTTGCACTATATAAACAATAACTTTATTAAAATCTTTCTCTCCGCACCTAATTGCATAATAACTCTGTTAGAATATATACTCTCTTGACTTGACAAAACAATAACTCTGATTATTCATAAATTCAATTAATACCATAATTCATTTATATCTATATGTCTGTAAATAAATACAATCCATTCTCTTCACTAATAAAGTTACTTATGTTCTCAAGGGGGGGGGGGGGGTGCAATTTCTGTGAGAGGAATGTAAACACATGCAGTACAGTCCAGGCTAAGCTTTATTTACATTCATCCCAGAAACGGCAGTTCACATAATTTTATGTCGCAGCTCGAAATTTAAAAGAGTTTCGTTGAACGAAACTCCCGAGTTTCCTTTTGGGGTCTCAACATTTGTGTAGATTTTGATTTAAGAGATTCGAAAACATTGAGAATATAAAGAAACTAAATAAAATAATAGTTCATCACAAAAATATTGATATCCACAAAACTGAGGCAACCCCATTCTTGAAACCCGGGTTTCAAAGCTGAATTTTATAACAATACACTGTCTTAAGTTTTGGGCTTTGGCAAAAATTGTTGTTCATTTATTCTAAACATTTAATTGTGATGTATTCTATAACCTTTGGGCCCTGGAAACTACTTGTAGAAAAAACTATCTGAAGGGCCCGGCGTTGCCCGTGGAAAAAATGTTGAATTTTTTTTTCAAAATCTTAATTTAAGTCCAAGCGCAGGTAAACGGCAGTCGAGTAACCTGGAAAACTGGCACTCCAGCTCAGATAGATTCTAGTAGAATAGATGCCAACGTAGAATTTGTACACTCTCAGTACAGCTGTATTCTGACGTCACAAGTGTCAGCTTAGTTTTTGTCCGACACAATTATTAATATAGTGATAGTTTTAGAATAAAGTGCTTATCTTACAGCAAAATAAGTGCAATTTTATTTTTTCTTTATTTTCTGTTGTTACACTTTTTATTTAATCTTGGAAAATGGAAAATATGTCAACTAATGTAAGAAAATTTCGTTTTCCTTGTCTTATTTGACACTTGTGACGTCGTGTATCATTGGTCCATTTCTCTGAATTGCCACCTATTGTACTTGATTATCTATTTGCTCCGCTAGTATAAAATAATATTTATGAAAATACCTATCTAGCTTCCGAACCACTCTTCCGAGCCGCAGGAGCCGAACTACTTTAAGAGCACTGAACAATGACCCGATTCCCTAGAAAAAGAGTTAAAATTATTTCTAAAAATTGTTATCTAAGATAAAAATCGAAAAAGGAAAAAAATACAAAAATGTAGAATATCTTACGTTGCCTAAAATGTCTCATTATGAGATTTAACAATTTTTTTTAAATAGTCCAAGAATATAAAACACAGCATTTGTGTAGTAAACACTGTACAATAGAAAATTTTTCAGTTACTGGCAAACATTTTTACTTTTTTAACCAGCATCCAGTACTCATATGATTGCTTCAAAGGACTCTAAGTGTAATTTCAAGCGATCCTTCATGCAAAAAATGGCATTGCCCGATTCACAACGGTACCCCTAAAAGCTGTGTGTGTTTAATTGTGGGTTTTCTAAAGTGATTTGCGCATTTCTACTGCAGGAAATCATAACGGAATTTAACACTTTTAAATCTAGAAAAACGACACTATTGATAAGCTTTACAGGGTATTATTGTGAATCGGGCATTGTCATCTTTGCATGAAGGGTCACTTGAAATGAAGCTTACAGTCCCTTTAACTTTTTCAGAAACTATATTTTAAAAAAACCTAAAACTTACATCGTCGTTGTGATCAAATGCATTGAAAACATCATAAGGCAGACAGGAAAGTAGATCAATCACAAACCATGATCTCAAGTAGTTCAGTCGAATAACCTGAAATTATTAATCATTAATAATTAATGTTTTTATTATTGTTACCATTATTGTTATTGTTATCATTATAATTATTATTATTATTATTATTATTATTATTATTATTATTATTATTATTATTATTATTATTATTATTATTATTATTATTATTATTATAATTTTTATTATTATTATTATTATTATCATCATTATTATAATTTTTATTATTATTATTATTATTATTATTATTATTAACATCATCATTATTATTATTATTATTATCATTATTATTTTTATTTTTATTGTTATCATCATTATGACTGTTGTTATTATGCCTAAAAATTATTTACTTTGTTCTTCTTTCTATAATTATCTATACGTAATATGTCAAAGTTCTGTAACACTCCTTGATAAGATTTCAAGTGCGGTTTTGTACAAGTAATCTCTACCACCTGAGACTTCGATCTAATCTATACTCTTCTTTATATAAAGTGTCCAGAGCCCGAAACTTTAGTATTGTAATGGAAGCCAGTATCGGCCAGGCAGTTTTATAAATACCAATATTTTTGTTAAGAAATGTTGTTTCATGGGGTTTCTTTATATTCTCTTCTTGTTTTCTGATTTCTTAAATTAAAATCTAGGCAAATGTAAAAAGGAAACTCGAGAGTTTCGTTCACTTAAATATCTGACCTTATAGAAGCATAGTGCACTGTTAAAACAGAAGTTTAATGTTTCATACAACTCGTGAACTGAATTCAAATACAAATAAGTGCCATGTTACTACATCTATCTATATATATACTTTACTTGTCTGGGTGTCTGTCTGTTTGCTTGCATCCAATAAACTTAAAAAATGGCTAAACCGATCAGGCCCAAATTTTGTGAAGGACCTCACATGACCCAAGGAAAGGTTTATAGATGATCAAAATAAAAAAAATTGCCACCAACAAATTAGATATTCATTAAATTTTGAAATATCCGCAAACTTTTATTTGGTATTGTTTTACAAAGAGAAAGCGTATCCACCCGAAAGTACGATTCTGAACGTCGACTTTGCGCTCAAACTCAGGATTTACTAATCTTTAAAAAGTGTCTCAAATGAATCCTAAAGAATTTGTCTACAACACTGCATACTCAATTTAACTACCTTAAATAGCCGGCCTGTCCCTTTAAGACATTTAATTGTTGTAGCTCAAAGTTAACATACCTTGAATGTCATAAAATGAAAATAAAAATAATCCATTTTAAAATATTACCTCAGACAAAGGTTTAAAGCATACCGTTGTTAACTGGACCTGCTCCACTATACATTTTAATTACGTTTACTGTGCCCCTTTAAAGCTGGTTTCTGCAGTTCATTTTCTTTAAAATCTTTTATATTTATTTTATAAAGTTAATATTGAGGGAAAGCTATTCAGTCCAGATCAGAAAGAAAATTCAAATAAAACTCAAAATATAATCTCATTCTTATTTATTTGAACAGAACAAGTTTTTCTAGGTTTCAGATATATTTAAATATAGTTATAGTTATAGTATTTATTTTCAAACACAAAATACAAAATAATAATGTATGATGGTTCAGCTTAAAATAAAACACAAAAGAAAATTTATTATGAGCCAATTGAAAATATAATGTTTGATAATTTTGTTTGATCGTTTTTGTTGAAACAAAGTATACATATTGAAATCTAAAACTAAATAAACATTCAATGTGCATTTACAAGTAGATAATTAGTCAGCACTTAAATAATCAAAACATTTTCAGGAATGCATTCATTGAACTTATAAATACATATTGATATGAATCTGTATTTTGTATAGAAATGTAATACAGAAGAGGTTGACTATGTGAATACAGTAAAAACGGCTGAGCCGATCGGGCCAAAAATTTAATTGTAATCTATGATCGGAAAGTTTTGTTGACTCAAATCTTTTGAAAATCCATCAAATATGAAAACAAGTAAGTCGAGGAAATATCTCATCAGTGCATTATTTTAAGATAAAAAAAGGTTTTAAACTTTATTTCGACTAATAATAGATATTTTTAAAAACTCTCTTATTCATACATATAATACAATAGTCAGGCCTTATTTAGCCAATAAGACCTGTTATAAATAAAAGGCCCAACACAAAAAAATTACAAAAATGTAAAGCAAAGAGGACGGAGGAAAGGAAAAAGGAAAAAATAATGTAGAATTTAGTGAGTAATTTGTATGTCGCAGGGAAGGGGAGAAGATTTGAATTTTGAATAGACAAAATACATCTTTCCAATTGACAGGAAGAGCAGAGAAATCTATTATTATCAACACTAATTTACATGAATGACAGTTTGATTTGAAGAAAGTAAGTTCTTTATATTTTTCTAAAAAAAGACGTCTTCAATGCATTTTCAAATCTATTAAAATATTTTATCTCTTTGGTGTTAATGTCCACTTTGTTGCAAAGCATAGGAAATTGTCTGTATATTTTTTTACAAATTTATTTTGTTTTAATTTAACCAGCCAGACTTTAAATTACAAATAATAAAAGAAGGTGCAAAGCGCCCCATAAGGCTGTAAACTTTTAGTATGGATAATAGACGTGGTTTCTCTTTTATTTCTGACACCCCTAGGCTTTGTACGCCAATATAATTCACCAAAACCATACTGCAGTCCTTCAATTATCATACAGGGATATTTTCATCTTTCTAAACATCCCAACGAATGATTTTACAGGTTCTTTAACAAAAATAAATTTTTTTGGACAATTTGTTGTTGTTGTAATTTTAAGCATCCATAAACCTTCCCTGGGGTCATGTGAGGTCCCACACAAAAGTTTGGCCAGATCGGTTTAGCCATTTGGACGTCTATTGGATACAACCGGACATACAAACAAACACCAAAACACCCAAACACCCAAAGTGTATATATATATACAAGGCTTTCAGGGCGCTTCCCGCTCATCTTCTATTTCAATTAAACATTTTCTCTTTGTAAACATTGTAAAACAAAAACAAAAACAAAAAAGGTCACGGATTTCATTAAAAAATCGAGGATTTTCTCAAAATTTTATGAAAATCGAATTCTGTTAGAGGCTAGTTTAAACATTTTGACTATCCATAAATCTTCCCTGGGATCACGTAAGGTCCCACACAAAATTTGAGCCGTTTTTAAGTTTTTTTATACAAACAGACAGACAAACAGACAAGCAAAGTATATTTATATATTTAAAAAATAGCGTGGCATGTATGTGCTCGACGACTGTAAATTCGGCCGGTAAAATTTTCAATAAAAGTTTGTTAATTTGAAAAACGTTAAGTTTCTTCACCCTTTGAATATAATTTTGTACAAAACCTGGCGGTCAAGTACAAATACAGTCTAGGAAAGTAATTGGTGGAACAAAATCACGCACCTCTGACCCTTTAGTAATAGGAAATTCAAACTAAAGTCTGACCGCGTCAACCTTGTTGCACTGGCTAGTCCTATGGAGTGTCTGCTTTATTTACCTAATGTCCGGTCGATAGTCGATACAGTACAAACTGGGAAGGAAAGGTTGACCCGGCTCGGAAATTCAAATGTACTACGGCTGCCCATGAAATACCCCTGTCCAGAGAATCACCAACTCTCTGTTTTAAATAGATTATTTGGGGATTTTTTTAAAGCCATAATCAGTGAAGTAACATTATTCTTTAAGTTTTAATAGTTTTAAAATTGTTTAGCTCAAAATGAAACTATCTGTTGTGCATAAATACACATTTTTGTTTGTTTAAATCTGAATACTGAATACAGAATATAATACACACTAAAATTAAATCTGAGAGAAATATCAAAATGATAAATTGTTCAATTTTAAAGTGTACAGAATACAGTTTACAGTGTAAAGAATACAGTTTACAGTGTACAGAATACAGTTTATGGTGTACAGAATACAGTTTACAGTGTACAGAATACAGTTTAAAGTGTACAGAATACAGTTAATACTTAAAGTGTACAGTATAATGTTTAAATATTTCTATTATATTGCAGATATATAGTTTGATATAACATCAAGACCATATTCCAATACTTGGAAACCTTATAAAAATATATTTATATAAAAATTGTAATAAATGATTTGAAGCCGAAGGAACAGAAACCGATTAACTACAAAAGTACAAGATCAAGGCTTGGAGAAAATTTCTCGAAAAACAAAATAATAGAATTAAAGATTCATTTGTTATGTACCAATCTTTTTATAAATTAGATTTGTCTGTGTTTGTTTGTATACAATAAGCAGGTCAAAAATTGTTTATAAATGGTAAAAATTGAAAAATTCTTAACATTTATTGTTTTTGAAAATCCGCAAATTAAGATAGAAAATCCGCTTCAATTTCTAGAAAAGCAACAGCCAGAAGCTAGAAATATAACTAGAATATAGGCAACAAGTTAATGATTATTTTAGATTTACAGGCTGCAATTTTTTTTTCAAATTAAAAAAAAATATTTTTTTCCACGGGTTCTTTAGATAGTATAAAATTTAAGCAAATTAAAAAATTTTCTTGTTGTTAATACCAAACGTACGTTTTAAACGTTTACTTTTTCCAATTTTTTAAAATCCTTAAACATAGGAATAATACAAATTTAGATGGCTTGGAAAATCTGCCTTTTAACAATGAAAGGAAAAGATCAATTTAAATTAAATGTCTATGTACCATTTAAGTTTTCTTTATTGTAAACCAATTTCTGTTCAAGCGAAAAAAATATTTTTAGAAATCCCCCCACGTACTGTAATACACAGATTGACCCTTTGAAGGTGTAGTACACGGCCTGTATAATTAGTACATCCTCACTCTATATACTTTGACCTCGTTGATGAACATGCATTACACGATTTGCACTTTGTCTCTGAGGCCCTTTTCAGGGGGGGCACATGATACCCCTCTTTCTGGCTATCTTTTGAGGTTAATCCATGCAGAAGGGTAAATCCAAAAGTTTCTGATTTTAAATTTCCTGGATTTCCTGCTTTTTATATCGCTGCATTTGTGAGCTGTAAATGGTAAATTGGTGATCCAATATTTTTTTTCTGCAAAATGCATTTTGAACTCATATTTGTAGTTTTTGTGATCAAAGTGTTCCGTTGCTCTTCAGATTTTATTCATGTTGTTTAAAGATAATTTTAAAATGTTTATTTGAGGGAACCCTTGATCTTCCTGATAGAATCAAATGTTATTTTTTTTATTTGACGAACTGTGGTCGTAAGTAACAGCTTGCCTAGTGCTTACCTTTATACACATTAAACTAGAAAGATATAAATTACAGTTAAAGTTTGGCGTATTTGGTAAAATAAGATTTAAATGTCGCTCTTTTATTGAAATGTATGGCAATGTAGCCAATCATGGAGCAGAAGTAATCCCAATACTGTACAGAAATAGGACCGGGCCAGTACAGTACGCTGATAGGGCTAGGCCAGTACAGTACACGGATACAGGGAAAAGACCGGGCTGGAATAGTACACAGCTAAGATTGGGCTGGTACAGTATACAGATAGGACAGGGCCGGTAAGAATTTAGTAGATTAGTCTCTATCTTTGACTTTCCTACATTAGAGTGCTTCACACCAATCCAGTCCGACTATTTTTTTGGCATTCAATGTGATGGGTCAACTTCCCAGGACCCACGGGGTAAACAAGGAGCAGCCGATACCAGTAAATGTGTATTTTGTACAATTAACCAAGATGGGCCAAAACAAGTTAACAACAGTGAGAACCAGAAGACTCTAGAATAGGAAGACGACTTTTAGACTCAAGTTAGGACTTTAAATAGCCCGATGAACATGAGACACAGCAATTTTCACATAATAAGGGATTTAATATAGTGGGTGTCGTATATATCGCTACAATAAATACGACTTTTTTCCCTAGTTTTGATTTCTAACTGGAGGTTTTTTTAGAAATTACAAGTAAATTAAGAGAAGTGGCTAGCTGATAGCTTATCTTTATTTTCATGTTTATTATCAATGCTGTTTGAAAACTTAGTAGAAATTAATATCAAAAGTTGTCTTCTTTGTATTGATATATACGACGACCATTGTAAGTAACTAGTAACACTATTTGCTTTTTAGGAACATCAAAAACAGCTATTGCTTAAATGTCGTCTTGTTATTCAGCAGTTTTTTGGTTCTCAATGTAGGGTCGGATGATGCCACGAATGGACGGGTTTACCTTGGGATCTGAGACGACCTCCCCTCCGGGCCCGACATATGTTGTGTGGAAGTTGAGCACGATGTCGATAAAGAAGATGACGTCAACAATGGAGTCCACCACCAGCAAACTAGAAAATTTGCAATCTTAGTCATAACAAGGCGGGGGAAGGGG